AAAAATGTACCTCAACCTGTGCAAATGGTACCTACTGAAGAACAGTACAGAATGCCCAACATCCTAGAACAAACAAAAGAGGTAGCTTTAAGCAATCTGTGGAAACATGCCCATTTTCTGTTTGATAACTTTTCATAGCAGTGTGATGAGATCAGGAGTTCACGGTGTAAAGAATGGAAGAACAGAAACCCATGTCCCATTAACTAAACAGTTCAAGTTCTACTGAAGCGAGAAGTTCTCTGACTTTCTGACCCCAAAGGAATGTTCTTACTCATTTAGCTTTTCCTGAAGTTGCTATTACTTACATTGTAAAGTGGAAAACTGACAAAATCTAAACTGAATATGTAAAACCCAGCAGTGAAACATACCATCAAAATTTCTGCTTCATTTTGTTCAAAACAATGCTCAATATGGATTCAGTTTGTGTTCTATGCAGAGCTAGATTAACAAAACTGCACTGTCAAAACATGCCTTTGTCAAGTCCTCAGAGTAAGGGAAGAGTAGTGAAATAAAACAAAGTTAAAAGAAAGAGACTGAAAATTACAGGTACTCCCAATGAAAAGTATATGTGCATAGACCTGGATGAGAAGTTATCGCCTGATATAGATCAAGTCTGACCATTCTGATGTTGGCATCATTATGATATGCCAATAATGAAAAAATGGAAGAACACAAAAGGTGCTGTGTTAGCTAAATACCCTGGAGTTATTTATGGTAAATCCACAGAGTCACGTTGTTTTACAAAAACCAAAACCACACACAAGATGACTGGAAATTTGTTAAAGTCTCCTTGACCAGGAAAAAATCTAATTCAAATGCGTCATGCACTTCTGCTCCAAAATAAATAAGATGTTGCTACTCATAAGAACAAAAGAAATGGGAGGAGTAGACCATAGTGTTCCATGAGCCTGCTCTGTATTCGTACAATCATAATTCACTCTCTGTCTCCACACTTCTCTCCATTCTCTAAATGCTTTGATTTTGAGATCACAAAAATCTGTCTATATCAATCATGAGTCTATGCAATTATAGCATGTCCACAGCCTTCTAAAGATTGAAAATTTCAAATACTGACAATACGGAGTGAAGAATTTTGTTGTCTGAATGCCCCCATCCTTAAAACGTCCCCATATTCCAGATGCCAAAACCAAGAGAAACAACTGCTCAGTGTTTACCTTTAAGAAGTGAGTATGATGCATTCTCCATTTTTAGGACTGTAGTGAAGCATAATAGAACATAGAACATAGAACAGTACAGCACAGTACAGGTCTTTCGGCCCGCAACGTTCTGCCGACCTATTAGCCTACTAAGATCAATCTAACCTGCATACCCTACATTTCACTAACCTCCATGTGCCTATCCAAGAGTGCTTAAAAGTCTCTAAAGTATCTGACTCCACTGCCACTGCTGGCAGCACATTGCACATGCCCGCCACTCTCTGTGTAAAAAACCTACCTCTGACATCTCCCCTATACCTTCCTCGAATCACATTAAAATTATGCCCCCTCATAATAGTCATTTCCACCCTGGGAAAAAGTCTCTGACTATCCACTCTATCTATGCCTCTCATCATCTTGTACACCTCAATCAAGTCACCTGCCGTCCTTCTTCGCTCCCTCAATCTTTCCTCATAAGGTCTGCCCTCCAGTCCAGGCAGCATCCTGGTAAATCTCCTCTACACCCTCTCTAAAGCTTCCATATCTTTCCAATAATGAGGTGACCAGAACTGAACACAATATTCCAAGTGTGGTCTAACCAGAGTTTTATAGAGTTGTAGCATAACCTCGCGGCTCTTAAACTCAATTCCCTTGCCAATGAAAGCCAACACAACATTTGCCTTCTTTACAACCCTATCAACTTGGATAGCAACTTTGAGGGATCTATGGATGTGTCCAAGTAATAATGTCAGGTCTGAATCCTGATTGGTATAGATGGTTTGTAGGGGAGTCATGCATGTGTAGTGAATTCAGCACTGCTGTTCGAGTAGTTAGTAGGACATAAAGAGGTATTAATTGACCTTGACCATTTGTCTGAAGTTACTGAACATATTACAATACTGTATCTAGGTCCTTGGGGCCTGAATCCTAAGCTTTGCAGGGAAATGCATCTGCTCAATTTGAATTCTGTGTATGTATTTGGAGGTTGAGAATCTCCTGCAGATACAGGATTCCTCCTCCACCAGGCCTGCAATACATTATCCAAAAGGCCTGGAGCGTGCTGTCTCAAATTGTGCTATTCCTCAAATGTCTCCTAGATTAGACTTGCCTCCTTTGCAGGTATCAGCAGCTGCTTCAGTCACAATGAGCAAATATTGCCCCTCCCTTGAGGTAGCAAGAGGGGTGGTGAGAATAGGAATTGGTTGGGCAAACTGGCTCTGAAGAGATACTCGTGTCTTTTTTGCCACCACATCATTTAATTGCCAGATGAGAAGGTCCATTGAGGACTTTATAAACTTGCTAGCAATTTAAGCTCAGAACCAGCATTTATTGCCCATTCCTAATTGCTCTTCAAAAGATAGTGGTGAACTGTCTTCTTGAACTACTACAGTCCATTGTAGGTACACCCACAATACTGTTAGGGAGGGAGGTTATGGATGTGACACAGTGACACTAAAGAAATGGTGAAATAGTTCCAAGTCAGCACAGTGAGTGGCTTGGAGACAATCATGTTCAAACTGTCTGTTGCATTTTTCCTGTAAATGATAGAGGTGATAGATTGTGCTGTCTAAGGAGCCCTTGTGAATTTTTGCAGCACCACTTGTAGATGATACACCCTACTGTGATTTGGTGGTGGAGCGAGTCAATGTTGATGGTTGTGAATGGAATACCAATCAAGGATGCTGCCTTGAACTGGATGGTGTCAAGCTTCTTGAGTCTTGCTTGAGCTGCATTCAACCAGGCAAGTGGGAGTTATTCCACTGCACCCCTGACTTGCATCTTATCATAGGTGGACAGGCTTTGAGGAGTCAGGAATAGAGTTACACACTGCATTTGCAGCCATTTTTAATTATATGGCTAGTCCAGTTCAGTTTCTGGTCAATGGTGGGGGATTCAGTGACAATAATCCTCCTGAATGTAAACGGGTGATGGTTAGATTCACTATTATTGGATACGGTCATGGTCTGAAACCTGGGCTGACAGTGACAAGTAATGTATTACAGAAGCATGGGTATTGCTCAGGTCTTGCTGCATTTGGAGGTGGAATGCTTCAGTATCTGAGGAGTCGCAAATAGTGCTGAACATTGCACAATCATTGGTGAGCATCTCCTCTTGTGTCCTTATGATGGAGAGAGGATTGTTAATGAAGCAGCTGAAGATGTTTGGGCCGAGGACACTACCCTGAGGAACTCCTGCAGAGATGTCCTGAAGCTGAGAAGACTGACATCCAACAACCACAACCATCTTCTTATATGCCAGGTATGACTCCCTGATTCCTATTTACTCTGGTTTTGCTAGGGTTCCTTGATGCCAAGCTCAGTTGAATGTGGTCTTGATCTCAAAGGCAGTCACTCTCACCTCAACTCTGGAATTCACCTTCTTTGTCCATGTTTGAACCATGGCTGTAATGAGGTCAGGAGCTGAGGGCCACTTGATAACACTACTGATGGCACCTTCCAAAACCTTACTGATGATCAAGAGGAGACTGATGGGACATTAACTGATTGGATCGAATTTATCTTGCTGCCTATGTACATGAGGTACCTGGTAATTATTGGCCAATTAAGGGCCTTAACTTGCCAGTGCCAGGATTACTTGCCTTGCTGAAAAGTGGCTTATTTTCTGACTGGTAAACATGGGTGACCTGCCTACTTGATCTGTTTGTGGGCGTGGGAGGCAAGACTCCATCTGGGGGCAATTGAAAGCACAGATGGGTGGGACTAATGGGAGGTCTCTGAAAGCCAACTGAAAGTCTGCCCTCATCTCCCACCACTCCCAACTCTCACCACGTGAAAAGCAAAAGAAAAACATCTATCTACTCACTTTTGGATCCCTGAAGAGTAGGACAGATTGTCTTTAGGACCCATAAGCTGCTGGCCTCTAATTGGCTGGCAGCTTCTGGTAAGTCAGGAGGCCACTGAGGCCTGTGTTTGGCCAAGAAGCTCACAAGGCAGCTCTTAAGCTGACTGGCAAGCAGTATGGTGGGCTCTCTCAGCAGGGGGCTCAGCAAGCTGGTGAACACATAAAATGCTTCCTCCCCCTCCCCACCACAGTAAGAAACAGGCAATGTCTGGGCCACTGGATCTGATCTTTAAACAGGGGTAGCTTTATGCTGTGCTAGCAAGTTACTGCATTGATATCTGTATTTGTCCAGACAATCAACAGTTAGTTAGCAGGCTGGAAGCACCAAAATAAGCAGGGAGTACAAACTTGGCATATTGCCTGCATCACAGTCAATGAGTACAGATTAATCCTGCATTGTGATTCCTGAGCCAATTGGAGGCCAGATTTAGCTGTCACCTTTTTTTTAAAACAGGCTACACGTAACATAATAGCTTGAACTTTACAATGTCTACATTACATCCCAAATTTTGTAGAAGACATAGTAGCCATAGGGTAATCTTTCAATCTTTTACAGACCTTCTTTCGTGATTTTCCCGACTTCCCCCTTTCACTTACTTAACACCTACTATCCTTTCTAATGGTTTTCAGTTTCAATAAAAAGCCATTGACTTTCTGTCTGTCTCCACAATGCTGCCCAACTGCTGAGTACTGTTTTTCTTTAGATTATGAAAAGAAAATTATGTTGCCTCACAAAATTGTGAAATAAGCTGATCCTAACCGTGACCTGGAGGTATGAAGTTGTATTACATCAGGTTAAGTTTACAGTCTAGAATGACAGGTCTTCCAATAGCTTTTCACTAAAATTCTGTGTATGAAGTATTTAAACTAGATCATTACTTCAACATAGCTGGTGAAAATAGTTCAGTTTAAAATGTAGGTTTAGATGTAGTTTAAATGCAAAACATTAAAACCATTACAACATTAATTACATGGGATTACCTCATTCCCTGTCTCCTCCTTTCTTTGGTTATAATATTCCAGGTCCCGAGCGACACCAGGCACTTTGTTGCGTTGCACATGAGGTCGTTTCTTCCAGTTTCTAAATTCTAAAGAGAGATGTAAATCACTGCATTACAAATTTGTGAAGAATCACAAAGTACCAAGAAATTAAAATGAACCTATATGTTGTCAGATTCAGGAGACAACAGGGAGGTTGTAATTAGAAATGTCTTGCTGATAAATACAGGAAAGATATTAAGATATTTTAAAAATTCAAAATCTATTTAGCCCATCGAAACTCCTTAAATATTCCATAATATCTAACTATATTTTGAATGCTGTGATTTTCCTTCCAACTAATTACCTTAATATATTATTCAAAGCATTTATCAGTGATTTTATTTGTTAGTTGTTTAAAACCTACATTTTAAACTGAACTATTTTCATGGGCTATGTT